TTTGTCTCCTTTGCTTCCTCTGTCAGAGACTTTCTTAGTGAATTTCACTCTACATCCTGCTTTGGTAGGAGTTGATAGCAACCCCTCTCTTGTAAAGTATGAGGGCCCATTTGATCAGAATCCAGGCTACATTGGTAGCTTTGCTTTGAGATTTCTTTCTCCTAAAAATCTGTAAAGCTGCATTTTGGGGCTCTTTTTACACCTTGACAAGGCATTATGTCATGGTACAAGCTTCTGCAAAAGATATAACCTTCAGTGGAGCAGTCCTACAAACTGTGGTGCAGCACAGTTCCTTGTACCCTCCTCAATGATTGTTGCCTCTGAGTCACCTTGAGTGGAATACACACAGTGTGTGAAGTACTTTACCTTGTAGAGTAACGAATTCTTTGAACTGTGTGGTTCCTATCTGTATTCCACTACCCACTTTGTTTCCCTTTTGTTGCAGATCCTTCCAAAGGCTCCGGTAGAACAGAAACTGAGCAGATGGTTGGTCTGCAACATTGCATGTGCCCTCTGTTGAGAGCATAAGGGGAATAAGGTTATAGGCATTCTCTGACAGACACTGGTAACAGAAATCCTTCGAAGTTTCAAGAAACGCATGTGCATCTTGAGTGGAATACACATAAAAACATCTTGAGCCGCTCTAAACTTACCGAGCAAGATAAATTACCATATTACAGAAATGGGGGCCATATAAAGTATCTGAGCACCTCCCAGTATTTTATATAAGTAGTGAGTGTGTTATGAATATGAATACAGCTGTTTTTGAAATGCTAGGAAAATAAGCCCGAGATGGATGCCCTTCCAAAATTGCCCTGAATGTTTAGTGGGGAAGAGATTTTTTTCATCAGATAATTAAAGTGTCAGCCATTTTGTATCTTGAGACAATGTTGCCAACAGAGTATTTCCTCAGCTGAATAAGATAGGAACAACCTTCTGTCCATGCATGTGTAAAACTGTATCAGGGCATGCTTGGGCCTACACCATATAACTTCTTCATTAAGAGATCAGTCTAACAGTATAGCACAGTACATGCATGAAGCATTTAATGGGACAAATGTAGGTATATTCATAGCCATCTAGTTGTGTGCTACAGTATTTAACTCACTTTTTTCTATTGTTATGCCTTCAGAGCAGGCAAGTCAATTTGTTTGGTTTATGAAGTTTTCAAATCTTTTAGAGTTATATACAAAAATACATTGTGCAATTTGAAAATGCTGTCGTAACCTGAAGGCAGTGTGATATCAAAAGCAATATTTCCATTTGCAATTTGAATAATTTTAACTCATAGATATTTTTTCCTTAGATGTGTGAGTAGGTAGTTGTTGACATGAAGTTTACAAGGCTGGAAAATTACAATAAATTCTTGTGACCTGCAGTCTGAATCGCTGTCAGAAATAATAAAGGGTCTGTACTGCATATTCATCAGGATAACACTATCTGAAAAATTTATGCTGCGAAGCAATGGATTAGTTCTTTGTCTATTGTGGAGGGAGTACATATTAGACTCTCTCTTTGTAATACCTTACCGGAATATATTAGTATAGCACTTTGTATATAAATGTTGAAGTAATGATTTATTCACTTCAAAATTTAAAATAAAACTTGTAATCTTCTAAGGATATGTCTGCACTACAAAGTTAATTCGAACTAACAGCCATTAGTTCGAATTAACTTTAATAGGGGCTACACATGCAAACTGCTTTTTTGAGCTTAATTCGAATTAGGTAAACCTCATTCTACGAGAAGTAACACCTAGTTCGAATTAAGTAGTTCAAATTAAGGGCTGTGTAGCCACTTAATTCAAACGAGTTGGAGGCTCTCCCTTCCCAGGTTGCCCTGGTGGCTACTCTGGGCCAAACCAGGGAAATTCTTCTGCCCCCCTCCCGGCCCCGAAGCCCTTAAAGGGGCATGGTCTGGCTACAGTACTTGTTCCAGTTGTACAATAAAGAGAGTTTTTTTTTGGCAAAACAGGTGTTTTTATTTTACATTAGGAAGGGGGATTAGGGAGGGGGGAGGGTGGTAGAAGGCCCCAGTGGGGCATGCAGGGAGAGTTCAGTCCTCCTCCACCTGGAAGCTCTCCCACAGGGCTTCCTGGATCTGGACAGCCCCCCACTGGACCTCCTGGATGGCGGCGGTGTGGGGCTGTGTGTACTGGCCAGCCATACGCTCAGCCTCAGCCGTTCAGGCTGGCAGGAAAGCCTCCCCCCTTCCTTTCACATAAATTGTGCAGCACACAACATTCTGCCACCATGGGAGGGATATTGTGATCGGCGAGGTCAAGGTAGGTGAGGAGGCATCTAAATCGGGCTTTCAGGCGTCCGAAGGCCCCCTCAACCACAATGCGGGCCCTGGTAAGCCTGGCATTGAAGGCCTGCCAAGAGGGGTTGAGGTGCCCCATGTATGGCTTCATCAGCCAGGGCTGTAGGGGGTAGGCCGCATCCCCAGGTAGACGGGCATGTCCACGTCCCCGACCCTGATGTGATGGTCGGGGAAGGAGGCCCCGGCATGCAGCCTCTGGCACATAGAGGAGTTGCGGAACACCCTGGCTTTGACCATTGCTAAAACGTGCGCTAACACAGCCGGGTTTAAACCTTCGCATGGCTGGGGCAATCGGTTCATGAATCGCCATAGACTATCGGTCCGATGCCGAACAACAATCGCAGAGAAGCTACCAATGGACTCAGAAACCAAGCTACTACAGTTCCAAAAGTTTATCATAAAACTACGCAAGGAGTACTGCTACGACCTTTCATTAATTGATAATGCAGGTCAGACACCATTAAATTTCGATAATCCCTACAACAGAACGCTTGAAGTGAAAGGTGACGAGACTGTCTCCATTGCTACCACAGGCCATGAAAAGTCTAGGTTTACCGTAATGCTTGCTTGCATGGCTGATGGAACGAAGCTGCCTCCTTATATTGTGTTCAAGTGCAAGACAATGCCAAAGAATGTTATATTCCCGAACACCATTCACGTGCGTGTTCACCCTAAAGGCTGGATTGACAAAGCTTTAATGCTTGATTGGCTACAGACGGTTTGGGCGAAGCGGCCGGGTGGACTTATGAGAAAGCGGACTCAAATAGTTTTGGATGCATTTCGGTGTTATCGTA